GTTAATGTTCTTTTTTTATTCGCTGTTTGTATATTAAGCACTTATTAATCGCCACGACTTTTACAAAGACTAATTAGTTTTTTCACACAGAAAGACGTCTTGCAATTTTGTTACCTTTCCATCGGCACACAAATCTATCAGTTATATGGAACGTACTCGAATTTCAGGGTCAACTGTCAAAGCGATACGTCCGTTTATGTAAACGCTATAATAACTTTTCTTTTTTTTTTTTTTTCTGTGCTGGTGTTGTGTACTCAGGTGAATAATATGTTTTGTGATGTTGCTCTGAGTGGATATCCACACCGGGCGAGCTTGAAAAATATGCCCGGCCACGGTGGGATTCGAACCTACGACCTTTGGAATACTAGCCCAATGCTCTTCCAACTGAGCTACGCGGTCAGGACGGTTCGAGTAAGTGATATTTTGGAACAGTATCTAGTTCCTTCAATACCAATGTGTTCTTGTAATATGAATTTTTTGTGCTGGTGTTGTGTACTCAGGTGAATAATATGTTTGTGATGTTACTCTGAGTTACTTACTCGAACCGTCCTGACCGTGTAGCTCAGTTGGAAGAGCATTGGGCTAGTATTCCAAAGGTCGTAGGTTCGAATCCCACCGTGGCCGGGCATATTTTTCAAGCTCGCCCGGTGTGGATATGCACTCAGAGTAACATCACAAAACATGCTATAATAACTGTTGTTTGTATATAATTTGAATTTGCAATTCTGTGGCAGCTGCTGCAAGGAGCCCAAGGATTTTTTCTGTCCTTTAATAAAAGATAAAAAAGGTCGTATGGCGAAATAACATATGATGATACATGCATGTGTCGGCAAAATATAAATACTTCCTATCTCACACGTTCACCATAATCCATGACAACATATCAGTATATCAGTAGTGTTATATAACAGTCACTTCGTTTCCTATGCCAAACTTATATGCAAATTATGATCGTAATTGTATAACATCTCATCTTACATCGCGTCAAAATTGGTAAAAACTTGTCCTTGGTCATTGCCAACGCCGTTGCTACTATTAAACTGCTCAGTTTCGTCAGTGCTGCTGTTACCAAGAAGAAATGAATTAAAAATTTTCAATACAAACTTCCCAGTTTTGACTGTCAGTGCAGTTTTCCTCACAGTTCTTCCACAGTCGAAAGCTTTATTTTTAACGTAAGCCAAAGTCACTACGCACGACATATATGTTTCAATCTCAATGGCCTTGTATGTACATGACGTCCATGTGCTTCTCATTACGTCACTCAAATACATGGTAATTGACTAACTGAAAACGTAAACGTCCGGTGGAAATTCCACTTGTCCATTGGATCCAATGGACAAACAAAATTCCAATGGACATTTCCAGGTCCATTGGATCCATTGGATCCAATGGACACTTTCGCTTGGCTATCTCAATGGCCTTGTATCCACATGACGTCCATGTGCTTGTCATTACGTCATTCAAATACATGGTAATTGACCAACTGAAAACGCAAACGTCCGATGGAAATTCCACTTGTCCATTGGATCCAATGGACAAACAAAATTCCAATGGACTTTTCCCGATCCATTCGATCCATTGGATCCAATGGACACTCTCGTTTGGCTATCTCAATGGCCTTGTATCTACATGACGTCCATGTGCTTCTCATTACGTCTTTCAAATACATGATAATTGACCAACTGAAATTGGAAACGTCCGATGGAAATTCCACGTGTCCATTGGATCCAATGGACACGCGAAAGACCAATGGACAATTAGAGATCCATTTGACAAATGGAATGTCCAATGGCCTTTTGATTTTTCCATCGGACATATTGCATGGGTATTGGACATTAACCCCCTTGGGGACTTAATTGAAGGTAGTTTGCTAAAATTCAGAACGTTGTTGTTTAAAACTTTACAATCGCCATTCATAATGCCAAAGCTAACAATTCCGGAAAGAACATTCATTGTTGAAAAGTATTTCGAAACAAAAAGCGTTGTTTGCAGTGTTAATAAGACAATTTCAAATAGCTCTTCCAGGACGTAATCTTCATCGAGCGTTCAGAGGAATGTCAACAAATACCGGCTGCATGCATTGAATGGAAGAACCACACCGTAAAGTTTAAATCGAAATAAAGGAAACTCGGGAAGAAGAAGAGTTATCTTGGATATGAGACAAAGAACGAACTTGTGTGAACTTAGATATGGAGGCCACGTTGAGTAAATGTGTACTTCCAACTAATTTTTTTGAAACATTTAAATAAACTGTGTGAATTCAACGCATCTACGTTTTTTAGTTTTCCAATTACACTTACTTAAATTGACACAGTTCGCCAGCAATAATTCCAAATTTTATAAAATAAAGTATATAAAATAACCGAAAAATCGTGATTTCGAAAGAATGCAAGTATAAACGTCTAACTTTCATATTTGCTTTGAAATTCACACTTCATGTGAGGACTTTCTTTATACACCCTAAAGCAAGAAATTATAAGTATTGGAGGTACTCATACAAAACCGCCCAATGCCAAGAAAGTAGAATTAGTATTTTTAGCTGACCTTTGAGTTTCGACTTTGTGCAAGGTGTTTGTTATTCAGATTGCAATTTTTCTACCTCATGAACAGGTGCCTTAGGGGCTGTTTTCTGTAAATATTGGAAGGCGGGGTGATTTTAATGTATTGAAATAAGTCAACAGAATTCAAATGTTGTAGTTCAAAAAGATTATTATTGCTGCTTGAACAACCTATAGTTTACAGCTAATGTAGTTTTTTGCTGAATCGTGCACAGCAATTTATTTTGATGCATCAAAATAATCCTGCCTGGCATCTCGTCCTGGCAAAGCAGGATCATATAAACAGTCCATTATTCAACAAATTCTGTATGCTGCCTTTGATCCCTTGGGGTGTGAGGCAGCACTTTCCTTGCGACAGTAACTCCTAGTTATAAATGTAATGGCACTAAAAAATGTAAAGTAATGTAATGTAATGGCACTAAAAAAATCAAAAGAAGTTGAAAAAAAGTTTAAAAAAGTAAAAAAAGTTAACAAAAGTAAAAAAGGTTAAAAAGTTAGATTTTCAAAAAAGTTAGATTATGGTTAGGGGTTAGGGTTGATGGAGTTGGGGTTGGAGTTAGGATCAGGGGTTTGTGTTAGGGTTCAGGTGCCTCGAATTCATCATAAAGATTAAAAACTCCCATCTACTTTAAAATAAAACTTGGGAGGGTTACTGCCTTTGCAGCTTTGAGTAGTGCAAGTAATGAACTTACATGTAAAATGGCGTAGTCTGGCTGTCAGCTGGACATGCAGAGATGTTAACATTACTCTACTCATGGCTTAATTGTATTTTAGTTGATTAAATCGCAAGAAAAATACCAATGCCCATGTTGCGTCAATAGAGTTGTTATTTTCTAGGGTCCATGCCATCCTTAGCTGCAGGTAGGTTCAAATTATTCGTAAAATAATTAGGGTATGTTTTAAATATTTAGTGTTTTGACTCAGATGGAACTTGAACATGCATTAATGTATATTATTCTAGTGCACTGAGCTAACAAACTCTACATAACAATTTGTCAACAGTAGAAGTTCCTTTTCGTGTAAGGGGCATTCTAATAAAAATGAAAAAATAGTGCACCACACTGTTCACAGCACTTTTGCCCCATGGAGTCGTCATATTTGCTTGTTTTAAGGCATAGCAGGCGCACATGAAGGTTTATACACCATGTTTCGTTGACGAATATGTTTCTCTTTTATCATGCCGGAGTGTTCGCATTGCGCATACGAGGAAATAACCAGATGAAAACGAGGCCATTGCGCCAAGAGTGCAATGAACAGTAGGGTCTACGTATAATATATATATATATATATATATATATATATATATATATATATATATATATATATATATATATATATATATATATATATATATATATATATGTATATATATATATATATATACCGGGTGGCCCAAAAAAAAGTACTCCTGTTTGATTCGTAATAACTTCTAAACAAATAAAGTTTTTAAAGAGAAATAACTTGCATTAAATAGAGGAAGGACTAACTTAGATTTTGATATATTACAGTTGTATTTAACTTAAAAATTCACGGATATATTAATGTTAAAAATGGGGAGCATATTTTGGAATGTGTCTAAAATTAGCGAAAATCGGCATATCAAATATTAACTCCAGCGTTTGTTTGCTTAATGACATATTAGGCTAACTTGTATTTCAGCGAATTATCGTTAAGGTTTGTAAGGGATATGGCGTAGATTTAGACATCTTACATGTAAGTCTTAGCTCATTGTTTCCTGAAATATGAACGTTCGAAATTATGCAAGTATTTAATATTAGGTTGTGACAGCATGCCCTAATTCAGAACTACGAACGATCCAATGACGATCCTTCGCGATGCAGTGGTCTCATGAAATAAGGAAACGTATTCGTGCTAGGAACACACGCGAATTTCGGACGAATGAATCTTGCTTGTATTTTGTAGATATAATAATACTTTGTTTCATAATAAACAATTTGTCAAGTGTCATTTATTTACTGGTAATAGTGCATGTTTCAGTCGGGCAAATCTTGATTAATATTTGATACGCCGATTTTTGCATATTTCAGACACATCCAGAAATATCCTCCCGAATTTAAAGATTAATATCTCCGTGAATTTTTAAGTGAAATACAACTGTAATATATCAAAGTCTAAGTTAGTCCTTCCTCTATTTGATGCAAGTTATTTCTCTTTAAAAGCTATACTTGTTTAGATGTTATTACGAATCAAACAGGAGTACTTTTTTGGGGGCCACCCGGTATACTATTTAAAACACGAGTAGGAGTGTTTTATCAAATATAAATACGACTACAAAAGAATACTAATTAGGATGAACAATTATATAATGCCACATGTGTTTCATCAGATATAAAGTCACTCCAATGAATTATTAATGAGTATGTATATATATATATGTTATTTGGTGTAGGTGCATGCGTACATACGTATATAGAAAAGTTCTGAGCTCTAACGGGAATTGAACCACGTAACCTTCTGATAACCGGACAGACGCTATAACCATTGAGCTAAAAGGCCTCAGATGCGGTTAGCAGTGCACATATAACACACAGAACTAGTAAATAAAGTAACCTTGGCTCACCATCTGAGGCCTTATAGTTATAGCTCAGTGGTTAGAGCGTCTGTCCGGTTTTCAGAAGGTTACGTGGTTCAATTCACGTTAGGGCTCAGACCTTTTCTGAGTATAGGCTTGATACGCACCTATATCGTGTTACTATATCGCAAGCAAAGTGGTTACCCCCAAAAGATCAAAGCCAAAGGCAGCATACATGAACACATAGTCAAGAATAAGCAACGAGAACTTGCGGTGAAAAGCTCGACAATTTAGTGGACTCTATAGCTCAGTTCGTTAAAGCTCAGGCCCCAATCCTATCGAGCAAAATACCCAATTAAAAGCTGCATGATATTTACTCATACACAATATAATGGCATCACCTTTGTATATATTATACATAAACTTGCGGTTAACTAGAGCTCGGCAACATGTCGTGTAGCTCATTTGGTTAAAGCTGCCTAGTGTCGCACCGGAATCACAGGGCGGCAGGTTCGATTTCTTCCAGACAGCGTATACTTGCATTTTTCGATCCTGGCTGGGTCTAATAATTGTGTAAAATTTAATCCTTTAACATTTTTGATACATACACTTGATTATGCATAAGAGATAAATTGATATGAACAATAATTATCTGATATATTTCAACGACTGGATGAATTTAAATGAACATCTGTTCACTTCATCTTATAATTAAAACGATTGGTAGGTTCTTTGAATATATTATGCGATACTATACACTTCATAGCAGTTGGCAGTTGCACTGCTGTGGAGTGAATTTTAGTAAAATTGCTTATTGATAAACATATATAAAGAGTATAAACTTGTATTGTAATTAACTCATAAAATTACAATAGAAAGTCAGTCTGCAACATCGCAGTCAAATTAAGGAAGTCGAAAGTAGAAAACCGTAAGAGGTAAGTCAGCTTTTTGCTCGTTTGATTTGGCTAAGAGTGCATTTGATGATTTCTGCAGCTGCTGGCAGATTAGTATATTAGACTTAGCGTCGATACTTTGTGTCTTGCTTTATTCGACTAAGCGGGAAACTTTATGGCTATGAAATTAGAAAAACTAAAAGTATATAATTGTATCAGTGATTCATCCCAGTCAAAAATTAATTTTGAAGCGGTTATGCCTTTTATAACAAGGCTAAGCTCTAAGCCTACTCGACTGTAGATTGTTATTCATGAATTCAACATCGAAATACATTAACGTCTGTTGCATGTATAAATAATATCGTAGAGAGCTGACGATCTACGACGCGAAAAACTCATCGACGGTGTCGAAAGACGTGATAATAGTACATTGTGTACACAATTAACAAAGTCGTCGAAGAAACCCCAGGCCTGGAACCACAAACTGCTCACAGTTTTTGTATTGCATGAAAATTTCCTTTGTCAGTTCAAAAGCGTGTTGCATGTTGAACCGCCCGGGTCGTATAGATCTGAAACTCTCTACAGGGTGTATATACATTTGAAACGGCTCTCAATTTCACAAATCCGTTTATGTTAATGTTATGAACGTTTTGATAAATATAGATTGTTTGGGTTACTTAGATATGATGTAGAATAAACAGAAAATTTTCGGCGAAGATAAATTTCCAGAGCAGGAGGGGTGTCTATTTAAGCAGGATTACAAATAGCTTGCGCGTGAAATTTAAAAGTTTAAACTATAAAACGCATTTTAAGCTCATGGTTATGTATTTTGTTAATAGTTCAAATATCAGAAAAAAAGTATTCAATTTTAAGTTCGTCAAAAAACTGCTGAAACTTTGATTTTTTGACACCAATGCCTATATCAGGGCCATCAGGCAAGCTTAATTAATTCACGAATTTACCTAATTTGCATTCACCTAATTTGCCTACTAATGTCTGTAACAAAAATGCATGAATTGAGCATGCGTGACAGGCATGGGTGTTAAATAATGAAAGCTTCAGCAGCTATTAAAATGACTTACGCCTGTATTCTAAAATCTCACTCACGCTCCCACTCACACTGAAAGAGTGGAGGTTCAATTTAAACTTACCCTTTTGAATAGCTTGAGGGTGAGTATAGGTGCGACACTAACTACACGCAAGGGAAGCTCAGATTGAACCTCCACTCTTTATGTGCATGTGAGCGTGAGTGAGCTTTTAGAATACAGGCGTAAAATTGAGTAAATTTTCTGATATTTGGACCAAGTAATAAAACACTCATAACAAATTTCTCGCCCATTGACTCTGAATTAAATTTCGCGCGCAAGCTATTTTTATAATGTTGCTAAAAAAGACATACCTCCCCCCTGCTCTGGAAACATTGCTGTTCATTCTACATCATAAATACCCAAAAATCTATATTTATAAAAAAATTAATGACATAAACAGACTTGTGAAATTGAGACCGTTTCAAAATTGTCTACTAATTGATATACCCTGTATAATAGCGAGCTCAAATCTCAATTAATTAAGCCAAGCGACCTTTTTGGCAAGACGGACGTCAGCTGTCAAGGGGAACTGGATTCAAAATTGTGTTTGTATCAGTTATGGTAATCTTCAACACATATGACAAAACATAAGATTTTTAAATTTGCTTTCTTACACAAGCGCTCTGACGCAAAATGCCGCCAAAATTAGTTATGCCAATTTTCGGGTGACGTCCGTGTTGACAAAAACATCGCTTGCTTAAGCTCACTATTAAGAGCCAGACGCGGCCGCGATATGAATTTATACACAGTAATTTATACAGTAATTTAATAAAAAAAAACCCAAAAATATACAAAAATTTAACAGTTGTCCGCAGGTAGCGAAAGCTATTCGAGGCAGACAACTGGGAGACTATACTACGAGTTATAGAGATGACATATAAATTTCAAAATATAAAAATGACATATAAGTTTAACACATAAAACGACATATAAGTTTCAAAATATATGCAATAATAATATTTTATCTTAGAAGAATTTAGCTGAATTTATCTAATTGTTATATTTTTCAATCTGTTTGTTAACATTGTCATATCAACATTAATCCTCCTCATTTGTATAAATATAGAAACTAATACTTTATGTAAAGTCTTCTTAATGGAGTACTTCCCATGGAATACTGTTCCATATTCTTGGGCCAGTTCTGGAAAAAGAATTATTCAGTTTATTTTAAACATGAATGTTTCACATAGAAGTTAACGTTTGAAGAAAATCTGGTATAATATAGTCATGTATGTCATGAGTATAAGTAAGGAGATTTGATTATATGTGGTGGTGCCAAGTTATTATGTACATCATGCATCAGAATAGAGAGAGATTTAAAGTATAGCATCTCAACAGGTAAAATATTGGAAGAAGAAAAGAAAGGAATTGCATGGCATGTGTAATCCCCAAAATATATTAACCGAAGAACACGTTTTTGAAGCTTTAAAATGTTATCAAGATGAACTTTGGCAGCCGGACCCGATACTGCTATGCCATAGGAAATATGAGGAAGAATAAGAGATTTATAAATATTTATCCCTATTTGGGGCCCCATTTAGCAAATTGTCCCCCTCCCCTCTCTCTGGGTGACCCTGCTGCGCAAGAATTGCGATCATGAAGAACATTACCAAGTTATAAATGTATACTAGGTATATAATGGCCATACAGTAGGGTATGGTACTGTGCGTTAAGCATGGAAGATTCAAGTGTTTGAGGATGGTTAGTTTAGCTTGAAAGTTACTTGATACATATCTCTTTAGATATACACTGTATCTCTATATATACATTCGTGCCAGGACAAAACGCTTGCAAGAATTTTATTTTTCAGTATAAAGCAAACGCGCATACAATATCGAATCTGTACGCGCTTGTACAATGCTTCTATTATGAAAATCCTGTAACTTGCTCGGCCGTTAAACAATCGATTTTGCAAAACTAGGGGTGTGTTCCATTTCATGGCCTGACCGGTCAGATCCAAATGGACCTCGTTCTAATTTAATGAAAATGGACTTCATTCTAATTTTATCTAAATTTTCTGGTCAGATTGGCCAGAAGCCCAACCGTTTTGTGTTCCACTCAACAATTTGACCGTTCTGACCGTGTTAATGGAAAGCGCCCTAGGAGATAGATAGTGCTACACTGCTTTTGGTAACGATTTATTTGCAAAAACAATCAGTTGTAGTATTGGATGAGGTTCAGTAAGCGGGCTATCCAAAATTATTCAGTCTGAGGTCACTGTTAGTGAGTGTTACATGCCGAAGCTGAAAGCAGAGGTGAATAGTGCAAGAATACTAGAAAATACATGCATGCAGAAAGCCTCACCACACCTAGCCTTCTGATAAAACCATTGTATTTTCCGAACATGAAGTATCTAAAGTAGTTGTCATGGTAACACGATAACTTTTTAAGAATATATTTACAAATGAAAAATCCCCTAAAAATATCGCTTTAAATGAAAATTACCAATTTCCCAAACATTTATATGTTAGGTATTTTACTATACGTATTATAATAAAGCTTCAATTTAAGGTAAAGTTCAACCACAAACGTTTCAAACGTTTCTCATAAAACTAAACTGCCTTAATTTTGGCTTTATCGATAAACTTTGAGTTTGAAATAAAATGATTTCAAATTCTCGCATGTAAATAACTTTGCTTTCTTTTTTATTTAAAAAAATTAATATAATAAAAAAGGGTAACCAATAAAAATACACCGAAATTATATGCTGCCTTGTTTCGTTTTATATACGCAACATTTATACGATCGGCTTTTAAAGCAATTATTAATATTAAAACCTTCGTTAACGTCGGCGGTCTGCCCCCTTCTTTTAGCCGATTCTTTCGCCTCTTTTCTTAAAAAGCTTTTGAAATTCACAAAATCTTGCAAAAATGAAATATATTTGCAAGAAATCATCAAATCAAGAAATGTTTGCTATTTCGCTGTCGTCATGCAGTCGTTATAATGCAAATTTTAAATTTGACCAATCAGTGTTCGCTATTTATGACAGTCCGCCATATTTTT